TAGCATTTGTTTGCGGGATTGAACTAGTTCTGTGCCAGTCCCCTGGGTGCCCGTGTGTGATTGAGAAAAATCTAGCGCAACAAATGAAACCGAGACATGAAAGGTGCAATCGCTAAGCGTCATTGAGAACCAGGGGATGGGAGGTGGGAGGTTTTGGGCAAGCGGACATGATGCTGTTGTTAGTCAGTAATTGTGTTGCCTGGCCAGCCAGTAATGAGTTGGTTTTGGGACTATAATGAATAAATAGGCAACATTCATAGCTATGAACCCTTGACGATGTCTTTGCCAAATGTAGCATTAACTTTCTGATTGAGTCAGAGCAGAAGAGCAGCTGCTGTTGGTACGGTACAGCTCTGTGCTTGCAACCAATTCGTATTCCCACTCGAAAGCAGCTACCAGAAAATACATTTGTAAACGTCTACAAAACCAAATTGAGGAAGAACGCCTGTAGTCCTTGTCTTAACTCTTGGCTTAGCCACCTCTTGCCCATCTTTCGCTTTATAATTGCTCGAAATGGCTTCACTTATAATTACAGTAGTTTGTTTGCTGTCTGCTCTTGCAGCTTGTTTTTGTTTTTGTTTTTGTTGGCCAAAAACTTTCAGCTGCAAATTCAACAAACGACAAAGGATAAGGTGGAGGGGAGGGGAAAGACAGTCGCTGTCTGGTTGCCTTTAATTATGGCTGCCTTTGTTTTGATTTGCGTGTAATGTCGGCTTAAATATGAGACACTCATAAGCGGATTTACAGCAAGGGGTAGCAATGACATAAACAATCTACCCACACTCCGAGACAAACCCACTCGAATGCTGATAGTTTTATGTTTGTAGCTGACAACGCTGTTAACGGGTGACCCAGGGGGGGCGGGGGTCAGATCCGACAGCAACACTTTTCCAAATTTGCGAACAATGCCTGGCCGCGTGCCACATTGTGCTCCAAGCAACAACAACAGCAACTGTAACTGTAACTGATTTGCCAGCGGCGCGCATCTAAGTATGCTTCAACAGCAAGCCGCTCCCAATTGACCGCCGCCCGCCGCCAGCGCACGCCCACAGTATAAACAACTCAATTTGAATGCATTTAACCGCGTAATTGAGGCACGTGTTGGACGCTACGCGTGCGCTATTTGTGGCTAAAGCAACCCGGGGCTGCCTTTCGCCCGGCGCTCTCTCCAGCCAACCCCCGCCGCTAAGCACGCCAAATTGCAAACCAATTGGCATGCAACTGGTCTGGTAATGTGGCTCGAATGCCTTTCAGCCTGGCCGTGTGCTACCCCGCGCTGCACAGAAATTAGTGCGTAAATGTTTTCTCACCAAATAAAAAGGCACAGCTCCCATTGTCGAAGCGCGGTTTGGCTTTGTGCTCCATTTCGTTGCGCTTGCCGGAAAATTAACTGCGAATTATTTGGGCAGATGACGAGTCACGGACACGCGTTTAATTTATGTTGAATTCGCAATGCTTTTCACGGCGCCTTGTTGGTCCTGCCACTTGACAGGTAGATGGGCGTGGCATTAGATGCGCTTAGCTAAACGATGATGAATTACGAGTTGGTGCCAAGCGTTTGTTTGGCCTCGTGCCGTTTAACTAAAAAAGTTAATGGGGCCCCTATAATATATGAAACTCATATAAGAAGCAATCTCTTAACTTTCTCTCTTATTAAGTCTCCATTCTATCTATCTCTCTCTCTCCCTCTCTCTCTCTCTCTCTCAGTTAATCGACCATTAAAATATTTAATGTAATTTTCAGCACAAAGGTCGTATACAGTTTTATTACCCATTTCAAATACTAATAGCAATTGTGTGGCAGCAACAACATTATTGCCGCACTAAATTTCGTGCCAACAATGAAAAGTGTTACGTCGAAGTTCTTTGCAAGCTTCAATTCTACATGAGCACAAATTGCAATTTAATCCACAGATGGCCATGGCCATAGCCCTTTTTCTTATCACACAGCCCCGTTAATGCACGTGCCGAGCGCAACCCCTCAGACTCAGCCCTAGTCTCAGTCTTCCTCATTCAGCTAGCTGGCTGCTGAGCGTCCCACGCGCGTGTCAAGTTGAAAAATGGTATTAAAGTCACATTGACAATCATCAAAATGTGATTCGCTTGCAAACAACAATGGCAACTATGCCACCCCGGTAGCTCTGTGGCGGCGCTTGACTCAAGACACATGTGGCAGGCGGCCCGCTCCCCGGTGACACTTTAGCGTGTAGCCTACCCTCGTTCTCCTGCTCTTCATCAAATGCGCTGGGCAAATCTGTCATATAGCCTTGCCAAAGTGCCTCTTGGGAGCTTGTTTATGTCAAGCTCTGGTCATAATTTATATGGGCGCACATATGCAAGCATTTGGTTGTGCGTTCGGGCGTATTGGCGTGGCACGCCAGTTAAATTTTAATTGCCGCGAAAGTCGCTGTCAGCCACAAATAGCGAACTAAATGAACTAAACTAAGACTTGAGCTGATCTACCACTCCCAATTAGACATTCCCCTTGCCGCTTGGCAACCATGCGAGATTCACTCCGTTGCTCCATTCTGGTTTATCTGCCCGCCGTCAGCGTCTCCGGCGCGCACTCAGACGCGAAATTGTCGTCAGCGTCGTCGGGATCCTTGCAGTCGCAGCGCGCCAATCCAAATTCAATTAAACAAACACAATAAGTTTCGATAAAGCTGCGCTGATAAGCACAGCAAACTAAATATACGCATAAAATTTACTAGATTCAAAGAGAGGGGAGAGCGCCAAAGGGATGAGAGGGCATGACTGGGTTTGGGTGTGACAAAACACGCATGAGGGGCGGACTGCAGAAAAGTCAATGGTGCAGATTAAGTGTTGCTCATGCTGCCAACACACACAAACTCACACATACACTCAGAATGAAGTATGCGTAATCTGCAGCAATTCAGGCGCAAAAAAAGGTTCTCGTAAAATACGTAAACAAAGCAACAAAAAATGTATATATATATAATATGAAGGAAACAAATTGGATTCCAAAACAAGTCCTATAAAATAAAATTCAAAGTAGTTTAGGCAAAAGACCAAAAACACTGAGAGAGACAGAGAGATAGAGAGAGAAAGGGAGAACGAGAAACAGAGACAAGCTCGAGCAAAACAACTTAATTGCGTGAGTGTCGCGTTTTGATTCTGCAATGAGTTTCGCCGGAACCAAGTGAAGTGTTTCTGGAAGGGGCAACTGTCTGGCTGCCAGCTCTTTCCATAGTCGTAGTTGTTGTTGTGGCTGTTGGTGGTGCAAAATGCTTGAAATGAGATTTGCTTTATTATGGCGCTTATTGGAAAGCAATTGTCTTGGATTTGCGTTTGGGCGTTCGCCGTCCAGGACAAGGGCTACGCTCGGAGTAAATATAAGGGGAACGCTAAGTTTTACTCTAAGTGGGCAGGCGTCTCGTTAATTTATCGTTTCACTGATTTGTCTATGGATGAGGAGATGTTTTTTGGGCGTGAATGCGACATATTACAATAAATTGTATTTAGTGGTCTATTCCAGGGAGTTTTAAGGGTAATTGTAATGATCAGAAATTAAAACTGGGCCAATAAAACTATAAGGAATAAAAAACATATTTTGCATTTTTGAAATGATTACAAGAACGTTGGGCCAGCTTTCATACTAACTAGATTAAAATCTTATTATTTTAAGGATTTATCTTCTTATTAAAGTTCAAATTGTCGAGATCTGAACGATTATCTTCAAAATAAATTATCTAACAAAATCCCAATTCACTTTTAACTGGGCAAAAGAAAAAACTAGACTCTAGTCACACCATAAATTTTGGCTCCCACATTTGCATTTAATTGTATGCAAATTGAGCTCGTTTGTGCGCATTCGCATTTTAGAGAATTTAGTGCGAAACACGCTAGGATGTCTGCAACTGAATAATTTAGTGGCTTACATTTACAGAAATTAACGCATATATGCACATAGACACCCATACACAGACTCACACGCACATGGCTCATGCATAATATGCATATGTGGGTGTGCAACAAATAGGATTTGGGCGACTAATTGCAAAGTACTTAAGCAAAGCTTAAAACAAATGTAAAAGCAAATTTTTAATAAATTATTTATGCAAATGTGCCTTAGCGGAAAGAAAAAAGTTAGGTACTTCCTTCCTTCGGAATCGGGCGAGCAGTCGCCGCCCGCAAATGCAATCAAATGTGCGAAATTTTAACAGCCAATGCACGCGGAATACGCGGCGCGTGTCGCGTGGCTTTTCACACAGAGCTCAGCGTACTGGGCGCGGTGGAGTAATAGATATTAAGGGATTTCCGCCGTGACTCCGTTTGTTTTGTTTGTTTGTCTGCCGTGGCTGTCAACGGCACTCGTAGTCAATCCGCATCCGCCTGGCCGTCCGGCTCAGTGGCTGCTCCTGGAGCTGGCCATGCATGGATTTCTGTTTCAATTATGCTGGCCACCAAAAGCAGGCACAATACTAAGGAGCACTGCTCGGGCCCGGCTGCCAGGGAGTAGTTATTATAATATCAATGGGCGTGAGGTGTGAATGCCCGTGAATTTATTCATTTGGTTGTCTCTGTTTTGACAACTTCGCCCCGACCATGGGCGCAATATATGCCCGGCATTGTATCACACAAATCGGATTAAGATATTTCGTATTCGTTTGCCACATAATTGAATAGCTTGCGAGTGTATGTGTGAGTGTGAGTGCTTGAGCCGCACGCAGCAAATGGGAAGCAAATTTAAAATTTTACACTTGACTTAGCATTGTTGTCCTGTCATTTCACACGCCTGCCAGAGAGTCCTTCCAGTATGTCACTCCGTCTGTTTGGCAATCAGTCTGCTCCGTTTATCTGTGTGCGTCACAGCGATAAATTGTTTTTTGCCCTCTGCTTATACAAACGCATTTAAATACCAAAAACCCCTCCTCATATATACCATATATATATTTTTTTCTGTTTTATTTCTTTCTGGTAATTTTTAAAATGTTTTTTTATTTTTTTCATTTTATATTTATGTCTTGTGTTTTTGTTGGTTTTTGATTTCGTTTGCCACTTAAATGCTAAAAATTGTTACATGCTCATAAGTACTTAGTTAAAATAATTACATACTCATAAGTAAATAGTTACAGTAATTACATACTCATAATTATAATACTAGATATGTCGAATTTGAGCTTGCAACATCTTTGGGCTTCGTTGGCTGTAATCAATTTAAGCGCTAAGTATGCTTTATAGGTATTTGTACAAGAACTATGTACAGGCGAGACTAAACAACATTTAAAGCGGTTTCATATTTACAATGCATTGGCTCCCGGGCCTGCCCGTGCCTCTGCACCTGTACCCTTGGCACGCTTTTCGAAGAGTTGCAACAAACGCTGTTGCATCTTGCAATTTTATGAGTGCGAGTGGCTCAAGTGGTGCGCGCCCAGGGGATGAAAATATGGTCCGTACGGCGGATAGGGCACGGCGTGCGGATAGAGCAGACTACTGGCATAGGCGCCAGGTCCAAAGGAGCCACCAGCGGGTGGCGGCAAGGTAGGGCTGTTCACGTCCATTCCTGGGTTTTGTTTTTTCCACTTTGTACGTCGATTCTGGAACCAGATTTTGACCTGCAAATACGAACAAGCTCAGCATATTGCCAGCAGCCCACGTCAAGGCCCATTCTCACCTGCGTTTCAGTCAGGCTCAGACTGAGGGCCAAATTCAAACGCTCGCACACGCTTAAATAGCGCGTCGTTTTGAACTTATTCTCCAGCGATACCAGCTGCTCGTAGGTGAAGGCGGTGCGTGCGCGTCGCGGCTTGGAGCCGCCACCACCGCTGCCACTGCCGGACTTGCCATCGCCATTGCGACTGCCGCCTTTCTTGGAATCGGTTTCGCTGCTGGGATCGTCTATGTCGCTGCCATCGTCGCACATATCGTCCTGATCCATGTCATTAAGATCCTGAGCTGCAAACAGAGGAGCAAATCAAATACAAGATAGTTTTTTTGCATAAGCCAAGAGCATCATCAATCAAGTGACTGACAGCGCGTATGCCCCAGGGCCAGTGGCAGATTCGCAAGCTGAAATCAATCACCTCGCATCGGTCCTAGCATTGGGAATTAATTGGAATCTTGGGCACATGTTGACGCACATGTGAACATGGGCGGAGCCGTCCAAAACGTGCAACGGCTGCGCAATTAATCGTATTTTTGCGGTAGTCGAATTTCAATTAACGCGCCCACTGTTCAGCCAGTTACAACTGTGACCACTGTTCGGTGCCCGGGCCACGGCATATTGATTACCCAGTTGAGATGGTAAGAATAGGTAAGAATGTTTTTTGCGAACTGATTGCATTATTTTATGCAAGTTATCTCTATGTAATCGATAGCGATAAAAATTGATGCAATTTAATTAGCTTATGCTTGAAAACGACTAAACTTTTGCTTGCATAAAATAAGACAAGACGCTTTCAGGTTAGGCCACAATATCCCACCTAAGTACGCAGCAGCCGCTTGCTGAATTATTTCAAAACTGCCAACCGCCATGAAAGAGCCCGTCTGGCTGTAATACAGCGGGAAGGAGCATAAAAGTAGTCCTGTCCAGGGCAAATAGCGCTGCGAAATACATGCGCCTGGTAATTGTTCAACATGATTGGCCATGTTTGCATGTAATTAGCCTGACTGTAGCTATCAAAAAGAGCGCCACAGACAGCGCGCCAATTAAACAGAAAATTAACATGAACGCTTCATTTAATATTTAACGATTTTGCTGGCCGTCGGCGTTGTCCGGCGTTGTGTGGAGTTTGTCCTTTCAAATGCAAATGAATCCTATGTCGCCTGACGCAGTGGTAATGGGCTGTGGAGTGTTTGCAGGCACTTTGATATGCATTAATGGCACATTAGATGCCCGAATATCTCATCAATATCCATTGAACGGTTTCGACGACTGCTCCTGACCACAATTGGTTTGAGTCAATTGAATTAACAGCCCCGTGGGGCGCTGCTCCACCAGACGTTTAATGCGTTGGCAAACAAACGCGAAAAAGTCGAAAGGTCCGCAGACAGAGTAAAACAGGTGGAGTACGGGGACCGGTGCGGGTATTGTGTACTCCCCTGAAAGGGTGTTTGCGCCCTATAAACAGTCAGCCGCAACCGCAGCTGGTTAATAAGCGCTGCAGCCACCAGCTGCAATTCGTGGAGGCGGAAGTGAAGTCTGTGATGGCGGGGTCTAATTAGGGTAACTAACCGTCTGTGCAGTGCAACATGGCGTATGCGCGTTGTCTGGCAGCTAAATAGCTGAAGGGGCAGCACAAACGTTTGATATTTGCAACGAAATTAATTTACGTTCAATGAAAGCTAAATTATTATCCTTAATATGGAATATTATTATAATTGAAATCTTATACTCATCATATTTCACATTTAAAAATAAAAATATATCATTCCTTGTAAGCTTCTTTAATGTGTACCTCAGATTTAAATTACAGTCATTTTTTAACAATACTAAAATGGTCGCTGATAAAGTTAGCGTAAATAACTATTGAGAAAATAATTGGATATTAAAGTAAAATTTACAAATTTTTATTTTTATTATCATTTGTATTCTGTTCACTGAAAATTTCCTCTCAGTTCCCTCATCGTTATAACAACATAATTTCATTTCCGGCTCTCCCTTTCTTATCAGTCGCATTCCATATGCACCAGTTGTAAAGTTACTGCAGTTAATTATAATAACGCCAAAAGCACTTCATAAGCAATTTTGATATGGCGCGTCGAAGATAAAGCGACGTTTAAAAAAGCGCACAGACAAGGCTCATTTACCAACACACAGAAAACCACACATACATAAGTACACATACACACACAAGCCAAACTTGACAGCCCTTTGGGTTTAACAAGAACAATTTAAATTAAAGAGAAAGCGAGACAGACAATCAGTATACCAAAAGGACATTAAAAACTAGTTTCAACAACCGAAGCAGTGATACTCTTATAAACTTAAAAGTTAGTCAAATGTATAATATCATAATATAAGAGCCTGGCAAATTTCCTGTTGATCTACTCTTTGTCTCAAAAGCTTCTTTTGGTATACGTTACAAGCAGTATATGAGAGCTGTTGTATCCTTTGTAAAGGTATATACAAAAAGTAAATAAACATGCACGACAATGTACACTTGGAAGCCATAAACTTAATTATGAAATCCGAGTGTTAATTACCACAACCATCGCATAATTTACCAACATACACACGCACAGACATATATATTCGGCTGAGAGCTTTTACAAAATAGCTTTTAAATTTGGGTTCCAGCACGGCATTTCAGGGGGCTTCATTGTCGCAATCATTATAATCGCATACGCTTGGCCAATGCGACCCCGGGGAGCGTTTGTCGTCTCATTTTGCCATTTTCATAAAATAATAAATGAGTTGCTGATGACGGATATAAAAAACCGTGCCGGGGCTACGGAAATTGTCGCCTAACTTTACAGAATTTACAGACACGCACACAAATCTGCAAGGTTCCCCGGGGCGCCAGGACCAGCCGCAGGACCAGCAGTATACTACAACTCATGGATACAAAGTCTGCTATATATGTAAGTATTTATATACATACATATATATACGTGTATATATATATATATATGTAGATGCATTGGCATTGGCATTGCATTTTGCGTGGGTTCGAGCGAGAGCGCACGACTGAGCGCAAAGTTGAGTGCTGAAAAGAATAAAAGTTTTCGCAGCCATTTTACTTTTTCGGGGGTTGGTTGCCAGCAGATTCGCTCCCCTGATTCTTGCTAGCAGGGCATGGCCACCCACATTTAAATGTTGCCACATAACCATTTTATTCGACCCAACCCCGGAAGAGCACCCGCGCCCGCTCCCGTACCCGCACCCGTACCCCTGGTGCCAGCCATGCTCTGTGCGCCCACTTAGTTATCGCATGTTTTTTCATATGACTTTTGGGGCGAATTTCTGGGGCTGCCCGAGCATAATGCAGGATTGGAGAGTGTATGCGGCCATCCATTCTACTATCCATGTTGTTTTTATTTTATCCACCCCACCCCATAGGTTATTGTGTATGTACATAAGTGTATGTGTTTTGTTTTGTGGCTTTCAACGCTGCTTTTAGTGCATTTGCTAGTTGTATGCTGTTGGCTCAGTTTTGTTTTGCATTTTAAATGAAATGCAAATTGGTGTGCGCCTAGCGACCGGCTGCGATGAATAGCGCCTTAGAGAATTGCTTGCTGACAATCTGACAAATGCAGCGTATGCGTAATATTTATGAATTATTAAACGCCATGCACACAATGCATTATGATCCGATAAAGCAAAAGAGGGGAAGGGACGGGAAGGGCTGTGTGAAGTGTCATAAAATCTAATTAGTTGCGAAGACAAAAGGCCGCATAATTACACTAATATAAACTGAAGCGACCAGCAGCAACATTAGCACCTACCATGCCATAAAATTAAGTGTCCGACACGGGGGAGGGGGTCGCTTTAAATCTGTAAATGTGTATGTGTGTGTCCTGGACAGAGCCATTGAAGCGGCTAATGAATGTGCGGTAATTAAGTACCTTGCTAATTAATGGCTACAGCATCACCAAGCAACGAGCAGCGAACAATCGTTGGATCACAGGCCGCAAACCCTGCGTATGCGTAATGTGAACAGCCTGCCCGACTGTATGCTGTCCCTCTGCTGTAAACTTCAACAGACTGAATAAACTGCCAGCAACAATAACACGAGCACGAACAGCAACATAATCATTGCGAGCATCATTATCCTGCTTGGTCTATCCTCTCCTGTTGTCCTGTGCTGTTGCCGCCGCTTGGGGTCGTTGGTACGGTCATTCAGTCTGTTTTATTAGCAGTTATGTTCGAGTACTGGGACGCCACAGCCAGCAGAAACCACCTCCGCACCCAGCGCCATTGATGAAGTTAATTGTGTTTTATTAACACAAACACAAATGCAAACAGTCACACAAACTGCCAGCAACAGCAACAACAACAACAATAAACAGCAGCAGCAGCAATGGCCGATTATTTGTTGCTGATAATGATGTTGTTGCTGCAGCCGTTGTTATTGCTGTTGTTGATGTGGTCTCCGCCATTTTCACTGTTTATAATTTTGTACATAAGCGCTTACCGAAGTGGCCAATAAAGCGAGTGGCTTGTTTGAGTGTGTGTGCATTTGGGATGGTGTGAGTGTCAATGCTTGTGTGAATGTGAGTGCAACTTACACTCTTAGAAGAGCTGAATGACTGGCTGGTAATTGTCTGATATGGCTGACGATATTGGGTGCTATATGTTATTGATTAAAGAAAAACAGTTAAACGCTTTTTGGCTATGATTGCCAAGAGTAAGTGACAGAAAAGTTGACTACTTATCTATCGAATAAAACTCAGCTATTCATTTATACTTACAAATCTAGCATCTCAACATTTCAAAATAAGTAGGTGATTAAACTATCATTTTTTAAATAAATAATATTAGCATCTTAAGCCAACTTACGGTTATAGCCAATGCTTAACAACAGTTAAAGCTCTTATGCATTTAATTCAGTCTGATTGAGCCCAATTACTTGTATAAGAATCCATGATTTTAATTATTATTTTAAAATTGTGCAAATATGTTGGCAATCTATAGCTCAATCTATAATCAATCACTCTCGATTAAAGACCTAATATATGTAATTAACTTTATTGGATTAAGTTGGCGCTGGCTCTAATTAATGCACTTAAATAAATGTGAATTTAAATAAAATTAATTTTCCTTTTCCGATATATTTGGTAGCTATATAATTCAATTTTAATACTTTTTAATAAAAGCAATAGTTATAACTGTTTTTCTAGTTCTCGATCACAGGAAGTAACACTGACCTTAACTCAATTGCAAGTTTTGTCACCTTATTTTTTTCTAATTCCCACCCACAAATTATAACTTTTAAATCGTAATTCAATTTCAATATGACCAAGCTTCAATCATAATCAAATCACGACCAGTGTTCAAACAAACCGTTTCCCAATTGCAAAACTTGACTTTTTATGTGTCCTGGCCCACGAGCATAATACAGGATGCCTCCCTTTCTAGACACCCCACCAACTTTGTGACTATCGTTTATTTTTGCGCTTTGCATCAGCTTAGCAGTCCTGGTATGCTGATGCTCTACTTCCCCAAGCCTCTTATTGCCGAGTTCACCACAACAACTTCAATCAAATTTGCAAATTTTTATTTGAGCATTTTCTTTGCAACGAGCCAAGCATGAAAATCAATTAATTTTCAGCAGAATGTTAGCCAACAGCTAGCAAGAGAAAAATAAGAAGAAGAAAAATTAAAAAAAAGAGAGCTGCCAAATATATGGGCAGCATAAAAGCTGGCAAAAAGAAATATCGAAAAATTCCACAGAGCAATTGCTTTTCCCAATTAAAACATCAATCAATCAATTAAAACAAATTCCATGCAAAATCCCCACTTGAATATGAGTGAAGCTCTCAGTCTAAACAAGTTTCATACATCTCTCGCATTGTTGCCGCATTTGTTTACCCGGTGAATATACTCGAAATATAAATGCTTTCATAGTACCAACATACACACACACTCACCCACACCGTACACCCAATTTGGCTGTGTGTACGTGACTTGCGCCTGAAAGCTGGCAACACAAAATCTCTGCTCGTTCAAAATGGCAAACCTTGCTTACCCTCTTCTGTGTGCGGGCGTGTATTCGTGTGTGTCTGGTCGGTGGGTGCGGGAATTTCCGCAAAAAAAGAAACAAAATCAAAATCAAAACATACCAAACGCTACAAGCGGCAGTTTAAATACAGCCCACACCACCCACACTCATGCCCACACAGTCATGTGGAATGCAAAAAAAGGCGCTCGAATAAAGTTGGCAGTTCGGAATAACAAGTGGAAGCGAAAACGTTTTGCAGTTTCTCTGCCCTGCTCTGATCAATATAAATATATATATATGTATATAAAAACACAGCCCACACATACAGATGGAAAGGTGCGTTCCCGTTTTCTGTTAGATTCCAATCAAATCAAGCACCAATGACTGGCACAGGTATGATTTTTCTGGTATTGCTTTTAGTTATATGTGCATAGGTACGCTTGGCAGACACTTACCAGACATATCCTCGCTGTGCTCATCATCCAGATGCTCGTGCATGTCCTCATCTCGCTCGTAGCTCCACTGACGCGGATGTCCAAAGGGTGGCGCTGTCGCAGGCAATTTGTTGCCCGTAAACTTATTGGGATCCAATATATTCTCCACGGAGAAAGCCAGACGCTTGGTAGCCTCCCTGTCGCTGGCTCCACTGGTGGATGCAGTCCCCGCATTGTTGGCACTATTCGGCACGGAGCGCGTCAGATCCACGGGGCAGACCTGAATTCGAAGCAGAGTAAATAAAGGCAAAGAAATCTAAGCATGGAAAAATCGTATGCAAAACATTTTCAAGCTAGAGACTTACCGACGGTGTGCTGTGCGAACCGGAGCCATCGTTGCTGTCCTCATCGTTGCCATCGACGTTCAGCTCTTCGCTGGTATCGCTCCGCGCATAATTAGCAGCCGAAATCTGGCGTGATGTGGCCGCCGCAGCAGCCGCTGCAGCTGCCAGGCCGCCCAGTTGTATTCTGAAGCCGTAATCACTTAAGTCACGGCCAGAGGGTGAGGCGGAGGAGGAGCTGGTCGATGCCGCGGCGGATGTACTGGCCGCTTGACTTTGACTGGAGCGCGCGGCAACCGCTGCCACCAGTTTAATACGCTCCAGATCCATGTCGTTGGCGGATGTTGGACTAATGCGGCCCATCACTGGATGTGGACCAGCACCCAAGTGCAACTGTGCGCTAGACATTGCCTGTGGCGGTGGTGGCGGCGGCTGTGGCGGTGCTGGGAGCGCGGAATGTGACGGATTTGCTGGTGTTATTGCGGTGGCCAAAGGCGATCCCGTTTGTGGCTCGGAATGTGTTGTTTGGTTGCCTCCTGTGCCTGTGTTGGGCGATGTGGGTGGCGACAGCGGCGAGGTAGCAGGCGATGGTGGTGCAGTGGTGCCGCTGCCATTGCTAGTGGCAGTGGGCAACGCTGCAGTTGCACGCAGATGAAACACAGCGGCTGCTGGGTGATGTGGATGTGGGTGTGCAGGATGGTGGTGATGATGGTGCATATGCTGCTGCTGCTGCTGCTGTTGGTGATGGTGCTGAGCGGCAGCGGCTAGAAACTGTGGATTCTGCAACAAATGCGGATGCTGCTGCAGCAGTGCCGCATGGGGATGCTGCAAGGGCTCCGGCCGTGCCAAATGACGCACTGCGTTCAGTTCCAGTAGCTTGCGCTGTTGTGCTTGCAATGGAAAGCCACCGACATTCGCTGGCGGTGACTGCGATCGTCGTGAATTGTTCTTGTTGTTATTGCTAACGTTGTTATTATTATTATTATTATTAATATTATTGTTGTTGTTGTGGTTACTCTTCTCCTTATCTGCATCCTCATGCGTTGGACTCAAGCGACTGAGCATGCCAGATTCGCTAGTCATTTGCTTTAAACGCTCAATTGAGTAGCGCAGATCCTGCTCCTGCTTGGCAGCCTGTCCACTGGCGCCTATTATAAACTTGGGTAACTTGGCAGCGGGAGCGCTGATGGTTGTTGCTGCGCTGGAGGCGCTACTGGACACGGACACGCCCTCGGCACCCGCATTGCTGCCCACATTAGCTAGCTCGGGCGAGGTGTTAGATTTGGGTGAATCAGGATTCGAATTCGGACTCATCAGACCGCCGACGGCCGTGGGCTGTGCCCCAATGCTATCGCTGGGCTTTTGCGCTGGCGACTGCAGCATCACCATATCGCTTATTGCACTTGTCTCTTGTCACTTTACAACACTGGAGCTCACTTGTTCACTTCAATTCACCTCAATTGGCTTCACTTGCTCAGATTGGTTGTTTGCCGCGACGTGTTGTTGTCACCTTGATTGCAGTCAATCGACTGTCACTGATGCCGCCGCGTATCTCTCAATATCTGAAGCTGCTGCCGATGATGCTGCCGCTGCTAATGTTCTTGTTGTTGTTGTACGCTTATCGCGCTGCTTTTGAGCGTAATCCGCGCGCGCGACACTCTACACGCAGCCGGGGCTGAAACGGAAATGGAAATGGAAACGGTAATGGTAATGGCATTGGTATTGCTCGACAGTGTTTGAGGGTTGCTGCCCGCTGTCGCTGCTCGCCGTCGCTGTCGAGTGAGTCTTGAGTCGCGTGGTAGTCCAGATGCTGTGGCTGCCGCTGGCCCGTGGCAAGTCAACTAAATGGAAAGTGAACAAATCTGTTGCGGCGTCTGTCGTTGCCTCTGTTGTTGCTGGCTGCTGCAGCTGCGGCTGGTGATGCTGGTGGTGGTTGCTGTGTGTTGAGTGGATTTGCACTACGCTCCTGCTCTCTGCTGCTGCTGCTGCGGCTCTCTTCTCGTGCTGCACACGCCCACAGCAGTTAGTTTGAGTGAATTCTGTTTTGAGTGGCCTGGCTCCTCCTTTTGCTGTACTCCGGCAGGACCTAATCTCGACTAGCATCTAATGATTTAATTTGCCTTGTGCTCGTTAGCAAGCGTAATGGTCTGTTCCTAGGTCTTAGCCACATTGGGCGGCATAAGCAAACGGCATGAACATGAACAGGGGAGACACGCTATCTTTTTCTGTGGGTCTGTCTTTACCAGCTCATTCTCTCTTTCCCTCTCACGCACACGGATGCCCAGTTTTACATAGTTTCTTTTTTTTTCACTCTGTTGAACTGCCACCCAAATATGCGCTCGAGGATGTGAGTAATTGTCAAATTATTTAGCGCAAAATTTGTTTGCTTATGCGCTTCGTTGGCTACGAAATGGATCTCAGCTCTTTATATTTGAATTGCGCGCTGTTTTATACATTTTTTTTCTTTATTTTTGGCGCTGCGTTGTTGTTTCTTTGCTCATGCCTGGTTTGTTCCTAGTCATATATGCATGAATGCTTTGTGCTCTTGTGGCTAACAACGGCCATCAAGCAATGCCAACAAGTCGCGAGCAACCATTCTACTTGCCAATTTTTTTTACGGCTAATTGAATTTGAGGTAATTTTTAGTGCCTAATCATTTTGTTAATTAGTTGATAATAATTGTAAGTAACAATTGTCAGCCGACTTCGATAATAGCGACATCAAGTTCTTAAGGGGCCGTAGATGCCAACCAACTCCTCGGCTTTTAGCCTTGGAACACGTCTAGTTGACACTATTTGCTGTTTCTCTATGTAAAACTCAAAGTGGTCAGAGGGAGACAGCTCACACAAACTACACCGCCGCCGCCACCCATGTTTGCCTGGCTCTCTTTCAGTCTCTCGCTCTTTTTCTCTGTGTCTCTCTCTCTATCTCTCTTTATCTCCCCGTCTGTGTGTGTGTTTCGCTTCTCAGTTTGCAGAATGTTTTAAATTGAACAAAAATTTATATGCGCTTTGCACAGACAATTTAATATCGCATCCAATTTGCGGTTTATACGCATCGCAGCAGCGGCCCACATGGGCTTTAAATGGGTGAGGGGGTACAGAGACAGAGAGAGAAAGACAGAGAGAGAGAGAGGTTACTAAGTGGATAGCCTGCTGCTAGCCTGGTTGGTTGATTGCTTGGCTGGCTACTGGTCGTGCTCATGGTCGGGTTTGAGCGCACAATGGGGCGTATAAGTGACATCGTTAAGTGGACGCAGGACGGCGAGGATGCTGCTTAATGAACTTCAACGGCATTCCCTCCTCCGCACAGCTCGCATCGATCCTTCTGTTGTCCTCGTTGTCGGCACTCAGTAGTCGGCTTCTGGCATTTTTAAGCGTATTTTTCTTGTGCTCGTTCCGTTGTTTTCGTTGACTTTGCGTTGCTTCAGCTTTTTGCGTGGCCAACGCCGGCGGAGCTGGGCGCTCGTTAGCGCTGCTCGGCTTCGCTCCTCTATAATTAACCACAAAATGAGGGGAGATGGCATTCTTAATGAGCAGCTTGTTATGCCATTTTCGTTTTAATTACTTTTAAGATGCTTGTTACCAACACCAGTGCGGCAGCTCTGCGCTTTAATTGGTCCATTGATGAAGCTGAGTGTGTGATTTATGTGTATGCGTGTATACGTGTGTGTATGTGTGTGCGTCTGTAACACACTGCGCAAATTGGCTGTGCGTTTTGCTCCGTTTACTTTACGAGCCATCGAGCTAAGCAGCTTTCGATGCTTCGCTAACGATGAGTAGCCAGAAAGTAGGCTACAGCAATTTCGTTTACAATGTACACCTCATTTTGTGGCAGTGTATTAAGCGCTTTACCCTTTTACATGCAAAATTAAATGATGCGCATACGCACGGTAAAACCGCAAATTATTTTAATTGCCTGTCTCGTCATTATTCATTATTTAAGTGCGCTCAAACAGACGATAGATACTCACACGCTATGTGCGAGGGCGATATTTCAATGTGTTCATGTGTGTGTGTGTCTGTGTGTAGAAAGCTACATATGTACACCACACACACGCGCACACACACTCAAAATGATTTGGGCGGCTCGCCAGACACACACAAGCCGCTGTTTACATAGACATGAAACTTTTAAGCGAAAAATTGCTGTCGCTTGCCGCATCTGCATGTGTATCACCCTCGCTTTCTCTCTTTCTCTACATCTCCCGTTCTCTCTCTCTCTCTCTCTCTCTCTCTCTGTTTCGCGCATTGGGGAATGTGTCACTATCTCTTTCGCTCATTTAATTAGTGAAAATATGTATTAAATGAGCAGCTCTTGTTAAAATAAATAGTGCATGCAATGGCAGCACCTACTCCCACCTGCTCTGGGCCCCTGCTCTTTGCATTGGCTTTCAACAGGCTGCGAAAGATTTACAGCTAATTAAAAGGCGAATGTGCATAAGGAAAATCGATAATCGGCAAAAAGCCGCTGACCTCGCGACAAGCGCAATTAAAATTACAATTGTGGTCAGATGCGTAATTATGGGCTAATTAAATTATTTTCCACTTATTCGCGAGAATTGTTTATGCGCATTTTCTGCTATTTTCACGCGCCTAAACTGTGCGAATTGGTTGCATATTTGTATATTTAATGATGTGCACTGACCAGGTGCGAGCGAGATGCCACACGCTCAATGCCGCCCACGCTCTCACTCTTTCGCTTGGCCTTTCTGTTTATTCGGCCATTTTGTTGTTTGCACTCCACTTTCCGTGCGCCCCACGTTAATTTGTTTGACTAATTAAACTAATGAGCGTTCAAAGTTAATACATAAATTAGTCAGCCAGTCGAGGCATTCAATCCAGCGGTATGGGAGGCGGGGAAAGGCTTATCGGGCGTCGGAGCCAGTGCGCAGCAGCTGTGTTTGGCTAAGCTTATTGCAATTTTGATTGCGGCTTTCCAATTAATTGCCTATGGCTTTGCGGTTTTATGGACTTATAAATGCGATTGCAGCAATATTTTGTGAATAAATGTACAATATATTAATATATTAAAGAGAATAAATAATCAGGTTTACAGCCAGTTAAGAAGTTTTTTTATATAGTTAAGAATAAAAGTTTCTAAAATAGATAATTGGTTTGGTTGATCAACATTGAGCAGATTCTAGATGTTGGGGCTACTTAGTTTAGTGACTTGCTATAAGACTTGGTACATTTATGCACTATGAAAATTCATACTTAGTCGATATCTTCAGTAAGAAATTTAGAAAACGGCCCTCTCAATTACGCTGAGACACTTGCTATATATTAGGCTCGAACAGTAATATATTGTAAGGATATTTAGTAGTCGGATAGTAGAATGCATATATGTATATATCTATCGACTTATTTTCTCGTCCTTTTGCCCGAGGATCGCTGCTGTTGCCTGAGGCTTTTACATGCAAATTAAATATGCTGCGCTAATTCCTCCATCAATTTGCAGCTCATTTCATATGCCAACGCATTTGGCTGGGCCTCGTACGTGCGAAAATCCCAAAGGCTGTTCAGATTGCCGCCGGCCGACGAGTCAGTCTACCGAGCGCCCAGCAACCATCATTGCGAGCGGCTATCAGGCTAAAAACTAGTTTGCATTCAGCTTGTAATTAGAAAATTTCCATGCAGCACGAGGTGCGCGAACAGGGTGAAATAAAAACAAAAACAGAACGTGCTAATTGCAAATTAATTATGCACGATATTGAATTTGCACTAAACGCAAAGCGGAAATGCCGGACATGACCAGGTAAATCTGGCAAAATGGCGAGCGTGTTAAAAAAAAGGCGCTAAGTGGCTCCGACGACGTGATTTGCATGAAATGCAATTAGATTTTAGGCAAATGAATGCCAGCCTCGCACTCGCCGTTGTTGTTTTGTGGGTGGTGCGCTAATGGTTGACCCACTTAAGCAACAACAGCCATAACAAGAACGACAACAACAACAACAACAAGCGCTTGCGCTGTCGCAGAAGCAGCGGCAGAGGCAGCAGCAGTAGCAGCAGAGGAAGCAGCATATAAACAGCTAAAGTGTTAATTGCCATAAATGCTTGTCATTGTAGCGGTAAACGACAGTAGATATTTGCCACGTTGCCACTGCGCCAGCGCCCACACACACACGCATACCCATACGCCCAGCGCGCCACGAGCTTTGCTTGAAGCTGAGCAGCGCACGTCTGAGCATTGCACTCAAATGAAGGAAATGAACTGCTAAATTATGCACGCGATTTAACCCTCATTTCGTTGGCCACACTCTGACACCCGCATGAACCGCAGCCCCCCCGCACGCGCAGCTCACGGCGCAGACGCCCTGACGCTGGCTCTCAGTTCGCAGAACTCACTCGTAGGCAACTGTATGTGGCCACGCCCCTAGCGTCTGCCCACACTGGCAGCCAATGAGCGTCGCTCAGTTGACTGTAAAGTAAGTGCTCAAAAATTGAGAGCCTCGCCAAGCGCTCAATCTGCCAAGTGACTTTTTCCAACATGGCCGCCAGCAGCGCTCACTCACTCAAGCAGTGAGTAAAAGAGCGAGAGAGAGGGACAGAGTATAAGTGTGAGCGCTTGCTGCCTGCCCTCTCGCTGTGGCCCATGGAACTATTTCAGACTTTTGCACCTTTTATTTGGCCATTTG